CACAATCACTACCCATTTTGGAAAGTTTCTGGTGGAGGATTGGAAATCTCAAGGAATATGAATAAGCATAAAGAGGATTCAGCTAGAGAAGTGACCACAGTATCTTTGGGATAAAGGTGTCTCCCAAATGGTAAGTGGCTCCTCATCATCAGCCCATGCTTTCCCCTGCCCAAGTGCCACACACAGTTTCCTTTTTGTCCTTCCCGCCTTCCATTCTTCCCATAGAATTTTCTGTCTGTCCTCACATTTTTTGACACATGATTTCTCTCTCCTTAAATGACTGCCTCTGTTGAACTTACAAACACCTCCACAGCCCTCACAAACCCAGGCTTTGTTTCCACTTTCTTCTTTCCATAATTCTCTCTCCTGGAATAGGCAGCTACACAGCATAGGAGAAATGCCTCCCAGCTGCCAGCAGAATAAAGTTATTTAATTCGGAATTTAAATTTCAAAAACAAAATTCCAATCAGGATAACCCTGAACAGGGGCACACAAATAAACAACTATAAATAAAACACATAATCTTTACGGAAGACTGAATGTCATTTCAGAAGACAGAAGAAAGCCCAACTGTCATGAATCCAATGGTTTCACCACCTCCACTAACACTAGGTAGGCTACAGTGGTTCCCAGAGAGAAGGCATATAGCTTTTCACTACACAGGTGGCCTTGAAGAGTACTCTGGTCTTACTGGCTTCAGTGGTGCCTGCGATCAGCTGTGATTCTGTATTCCTCATCTCTGTTAAGCACACAGAGAACCCCTCACCTGAAAGCCCTGACATTTTAACTTCAAGAATTGTCTATACGCCAAGAAATATGAAACGTATGTTACACTTTCCTCTGAAAAAAGATGTATTTGTCCAGTGTGGTGAAAATTTTAACATTATGGCATATATTACCAATAATGAAACACCCCTGGGAATAACTGGAAGTTATGAGTGGTTCAAGTACAGGGCTGGGGAGCAGCTGCATACAACTTTACCTTTTGTTTTCAGGCTTTGCTCAAAACACAGTTCCTCTTTGCTGAAAATATAATGTGAAATAGCACATTGGACAATAGAACAAAACACTTTCCTACCAGAGAATACTGTTGGGTCCAATTTTTCATTGCTTGGATTTTTATTTTTTTTTCCATCCAAGCAAATGCTTTTGCTCTGACAGCATTTAATAACAAGTTTGACCTTGGAGCGTCTAAGTTTAAATGATTTCAGAGTACGTTGCTGCAGAAAATCAGGGGCCAGGGATTCTTTCCCTTATTTGAATTTTATTATTTTGGGAAAAGGGGGAATCCCTTGTTTCACAGAAGAAATTACTTTTGAGCCACAGTGTGAAGACTTTTTGCATGACTGCATGAAGAGCCACAACTTTTTATACTTAATGCAGTTGATATATGATTGTCACCAGTGCCAAAAGGAACTTAACTGCTTCCTCATGGGAATAGCTCTGAAAATACAGTAAAGAAAGCTGAGAACTAGTTTATATTTCCATGTGTTGGAGAAGGAACAAAGTTTGAGACCCCTCCTGACAGTCCTGTGGGCTTGTACAGCTGAGAGAAGCTTTGTGATTCTGCAACCCTTTATTTTTCTAGTGGGTTCACGTCCAGCATTCCCCCTGTGGAACTCAATTATCATTATCAAGCATCAATCCCAAGAAAGGTACAGGTTTGTAATGAATAAATGTCACTGACTACAGTTTTCTGTATTTTATCTGTGGATCAAAACACACACTATTATTTATATCTGAAGTGCCAAATTTCCAAGTATTTAATACAGATTAATAAATTTCCAAAATTATTCCCATTCCCATATTTTTGGGCCTTTTTAATTTCTCAATTTCCTATAAAGAACACACAAACTTTGAGAAATACTGAAGACGCACAAAGAGTAATTATTATAGCTTCACACTAAGTAAGAATGAATATTAACTATTGTTGCTGCATAGAAAAAAGCTACTGCAGTGCAAAAATACCATTTGGTACATTTGTTAGAGTTATTACAGAAGTCAAAGATAAAATTATCTTTGGTTAGAGCTACATTCATCTCCCCCCCCCCCCCCCCCCCCCCCCCAATAATACCATCATAACAACAACAGTGTAGAAACAACAGTGGGACATGGCTCCTGACAGTCTAATCATGGTTCACCTAACAATATTCACAGGGAGTCAAAATGTTGCTGTTAAATCACTACCCTTCCCTATTCTAAAAAGCCACCAGGTGAGCTGTTTCAGTGGTGGTAACAATGGAAAACACCACAAAAGGTTTTATTGTCAACAGATCTGTAGAGAAAAGCAACACTGCAGACACAATATTGATTGCTGTAGGGGAAAAATGAATTTCAGATGTACTCTGCATTACTCTTACATAAGTCCTCTTACGTAACATGGAATAACATTACATTTTATGGACATTCTATTTTCATGACAAAATGCTCTTGAACGTTAGAGGTTATTAACGTTCTGTACTGATCTAATGCAATTTGAATGCATATGATGTGTTCACTATGGTAACTATTACACAAAAGAAAAGGCACTGATCTTCATACAAGATCCTCTTTTCTCACAAGTAAGCACAGAAGTATAGACAAATTCTGCAAAAAACTGCTTTCTTGGTGCAAACACATACTTAGGAGAGGAGAAAAGGAAAAAAAAGAAGAAAAACGAACAGAATCAAAGACAAGTAATTTGACCTTTTTGTTATCTGTTTTGGAAAACAAAATGAAGGAAATTATACTCCTTTAGTTGTTCATAAATCATCTTCTATTTGATGAGATATCCCATTCAAACCCATCAATAATTGTGAGTTACAGTTTACCAATGACACTCATAAATGGCAGTTAGAGACATCAAATTTATAGTGAACTCTCACTAGAGATTTGTTTCTACAAAAAATATTGCTTAAAATTCACATGCCTGTGGCATTTAAAATTATCAACATAGTTACAAAGAAAAAGCCATAAATGAAACAAAAGGCATCAAAAGCATTTAATTTCATTGCGCATTTTAAAATTGTGTATTTAACTCACAATCCTTGCAAAAACCATTAGAATTCACAAGTGACAGTAATAGTTGGCCTCATAGAGACAAGTGTGTAAGGGCAGGCATCCTCCACGTATCTCTATCCTCAACCAAAAAGCAGACAGACTCTGTTCATTTGTTGTTCATGGTCTCCCAACATGTTAGGGCTAAGAATCCTAAACACACCATCCACCATCAGGTTCTGCCAAAGACAAAGAGACCATAAACTCTCTGGGCAACTGTTCCATGCTTGACCATTCTCACCCTAAAAACATTCTGTCTTATGTTTATATGGAATTTCCTGTATTTTGTTTCAGTCTCAATGCCTCTTGCCACCCCCACCTTTATCCAATCTGGTATTTACACACCCTGACAAGATCCCCCTAAAGCTTTGTTGTTTAAAGGCTGAACAGTCCCAGCTTTCTCACTCTCTCTTGATATGACAGAACCAGACACAGCACACCAGACACATCTCACCACTGCCTAACAGAGGGGAAGAATCGCTTCCCTTGACCCATCGGCAATGGTCTTCCTAATTCAGCCAAAGAACCTATTGGCTGCCTCAGCTGCAAGGGCAGACTGCTGGCCCATGGACCACTGGTCCACCAAAACACCCTCAGCTATTTTCCTGCAAAGCTGCTTGCCAGTTGGTCACCCCCAGCCTGTATCAGTGCGTGATTCTTCCTCTGCAGCTACAGGACCTCACGATCCCTTTTGGTAAAGGTCATAACATTCTTGTCTGCCCATTTCTCCCACCTCTGAGATCACTTTGAACAGCACCACAACTCTCTGGTGTATCTTCATTTCCAACACATACAGATAACATACAAGTCTATGACAGCAATGACACTCCACTTTATGAACAACCTTTTCATCTAACAACTACTACAGTAGAGATAATTTATTCTTTGTGTATAATTGATTTGTGTCTGCACTTAAAAATGTCTTTTGAAATCCATATTATAACTAATACTGTCACATAATAAAAAGCAACATTTTAAATTAAAAGTTACTTATTTTCCATTATTCAACATTATTAGACAAGGCAGGAACTCTAGCTTAGTGTTAAAACATAAAAGAAGTTATTCTGAACTTATAATACATGGGTTTAACAGCTTAATGTCAAGAAGCAATACTGTAAATTAAAAACTAAGTAGAAGGATTATAGTATTTCATATTTAGAAATTTCACAACTACAGATAATTAAGGCAAGCGAAATATTTTTGCAGCATTGTCCTGAAATCTACAATTATAAAGTACTTTTACAGCAATAGCACAGTACTCTGTAATAACACTCTAGACATAACATCACCATGGCATTTGAGACTTTTACCGCAACATACTGCTGCATTTTTTCAAGGTTTTGTAGGACTTATTTCTATTTCTTTCTTCCTGTCATCATTACTACAAGACAGCTCGCTTCACCTAGCTTATCTAAACCACAGCTGGAATCAGTAAATCACAGGTATGACAGAGCAAGGGAACCTCATTCACTGCAGGTATGTAAAGGTGCTACTTTTGAGGCCCCTTTTAAGCGACTGTTTCAGAAATAGAAACCACATGTGGGCCATACATGATTCTTTGCACCTACTTAAAATTGAAGAATAAAAACTCCTCATAAGTCATGTGAAATAGTTTGAGTGTTGACTTTCTGCAAGTGTAAAAAGTTTTCAAATTGAACAAAATGCCTGGCAATGAGCACCATCTCCTTTTGAACACGTATCCTCCAAAGAAAAATCATCCTTACAAGACAACTAATAGTGAACTTTAGAGATGGAGAACTGTGATCCCTTATAGAGATGATGGAAGAAACTTAAAGACAGTTTCAGTCTTGTCATATTCCTTACACCTCAAATTATGCTTATTTGGAAAACTGTCAAGAAAGTCACCCACAGAAAAGAGCTCCTGCTGGAAAAGTTTCACCAGGGAATACAATTAGAAGCACTCCATGATCTCCATTTTCATATAGATTTGGATATTCACTTACCCCTTTTCCCTTGCCAGCTTGGACAGTATTGACTTTTACAATTAGTCTTCTCTTTGAAGTCTCTACAGATATCCAGACAGCTTTAACATCCCCCGTTCCTCCAAGAAGCATTCCATTCTCTCCCTCAGCAGATTACCAGGCGCTCTCCTGGTGAAAAGGAAAAAAAAAAGGTAGTTTCACTGACTTAATTATGTAGGTATGTCCTCATTAGACTAAGACTCATCTACAACAATTAACCCCTTATCTCAATAATTTCATGATGTTGCTCCTCTCTCCCTCCCCCTAACCCATTTGCTACTGTTTGGCATGTTCCACTGGACCTTAGCGTTCTCTTATCTATTTGAGCATTAAAGGCACACATGACATATGTGCTTAATTATATATACACACACAACATTACTGGCTCTCAACTGAGGGAAGACATGATGCAGTAAACTGCTTTAGGCTGTCTGACTGTATAGCTCCCATAGCATTAAGGGATATTTAAAGAAACCAACTCCCATTTACTTCTGCCAAAGCATAAGCCCGCAAGTCCACAAATCCCACAACATAAATTACCACATCCATGGCATACGGTTACTTTTTTTTGACAGTATGTGTCCACATCTACGCAGTCACTCAACCAACTCTACCTTCATGGTGTACAGATTGTGATCATCCAATAGTCTCATATTCTACATCTAATATTCCATAACTGCTTATTAAAGCAACCAATTCTGAAAGATTCTGATCTTATTTTAAGAATACACACGCATGCTACATATACAGTGTAAACAGACCATTGGCAATATGCTTGAAGAGCTTTCAATCACATTAATTAATAATAAACACTAAAGTGATATGCTCACGGAAGTCATAACATCCCTGCATACAGACAGGCCAAGCATTGCATTGAAGTCCTTTCAGCAGGCACAGGAAGTTTCCAAAGTAATTGCCCTTTAGTCATTACAAGATTACTTTAATATATGCTGGTGTGTGAAGGAGCATATAGAAGCAAATTTTATTTCTGAAATGTCTACATCAATATGGATGCCTAATTAAGGTATTCATTAAAGTATACAAAGTTAACAGGAAAAAATCTACAGACTACTATTACGCTTCCCCATTAAGCTAATTTAATTTGGTTATAACACAAATTCTAATAAGATGATATTATTAACTAGTTCAATTTCAAAATGTCTTACCATGTTTATTTTTATTATGTTACTAAGCAGAGTAGCAATTGACCTAATTTATTTTATTTAATAACATTTCTCAATCCTTTTGAAAAGGGACAATGGCCTATTTCTTTCCTTAAGCTGTCAGTTTGCTGCCATTTTAAACTTTACATATAGTTAAGGTCTTCACCAATTTCACAGACTAGAATTCAAAACTATGCATTCTTCTTTTACTCAGATCAGTCATTTGGTCTGCAGTTATAACATTTGTGAGTGCTAATAGCTGTTGCCCTGAACAGGAGAAAGATCTGCATTTCAGTTGGTCACCTGTTCAGTCGGATACTTAGTTTCTTTAGCTTTTACAAACAGACGATATTTCCATTATGATTTAAAGTCATAACTGATGTAAAACTATACAGCTGGTTTTGATACTGTTCCAAAATTGAAAGAGAAGAAATTTTCTTCATAAACAAACAGGATACTTCAAATTCCTTCCACGACATTATATATTAGATTTTCCATGTTCTGAGAATAACATTTCAGTGACAAATTCACAACATCCTTGTCTAAAATCTGGACACAGCTGTCTAGCATAAAACCATTACGTAAGGTTCTGCACAGTTTGCTAATTCTGCAGCTTCAGGGCTGCTGCATTTAACCCCAGGGATCCTCAACATGTCCTGTCTACCACCAACAACGTACAGAGCAGCATTCTAAAGTAACCCATGTAGACACCCCATTTTCAGGAGTTAGGCATCACCACAACCAACCGCATTACCTAGTAACGGGGCTTTCAGCCTCTTCTGAACACTCTTGGGCAGGAGCCTAATACTGAGATCACAAGAAAGAACATGTAGAGAGCTGTATTCACTGCAAGCTATACAAAATGAGTCCCGAACAGGCCTCTGTACCTTGGCAGTGTTAATTATCACCGTTGATTCCTCACATTTCCCCCCCTGTTGGTATTAGCATGTTCTATCACTACTTCATCAGCACTTTTTTCCTGGCTATCTCTCAGCCAGCCAGCTCTGCATGGAGAAGTTTCATCATGCTCTCTCCACTTGACCTCATCTGACCTGCTAAAGAGTGATTTAACATACTGTATGTATTAGAAAAATCAATATTGACAAAATTTTGAAGTCAAGCCTATTGGTATGATTTAAAACCCAGACGGTTAGCAATAAGGTTATTCAGAGTGGAATTAGGATGTAACAAGCTACTTCTGTCAGCAATGGACACGTCATTTCTCTCCCAAAACCTGAATCAAACAAAACACTTTTCCAGTAGCTAATACAACGTAGAGGTATATTTCTTGTTGAAAACTAAATATTAAATTGTATAAATAAATACATAAAAATAAGTATTTGCATAAAGCCAGCTTGTCCACTATTCCTACATTGCTTTTTACTGCAGTACAGATCTCAAAACTAAACATTTTGGTCACAGAGGTCATATCAGTTTAAAAGCTTCCACCTACTCTGCCACATTGATTTTCTAATGCACATAACATGTTAAAACGAATACAGTCAATAGTTCAGCAGACCAGACAAATCAGGGACCAGAAATGCTGCAAAGATTATCTTGATGCTCCACCTATCAGAAGTATGGCCTAATGTCAGGAGATTAAAGGGATTTAATTTCATGTCAAGGGATTAAGTTTTATACCTTATTACAAGCAGTTAAACACCTCATAAGCAATTATAAGCAGTGCAATATGCCAGGAAATGCATAAAGCTAGAATAACAATTTTGAGTAAAACGGCATTTTAAGTTGGAAAATGTGAAACAACAACTAAAATCTTGTGCAATCTCCCCCAGCGCTTGACAGGCAAATGGGGAAAGAGCTGACAATGTGAATAGTGAAGAGTGCAAGGCCTCACCAGACCCGAAACAAAACTCCTCAATACAATACACCTATTATTTTTGTCACAGTATAATTTCAAAAATTAAATTTGAAACTAAACGACAATGTTATTCAGAACTGGCGTTACTTTGCTTGTTCATTTTAAGGAAAAAGGCTGCCAAGGTCAGCATTCATGACAACTAACCCAGTGTTTGCCTGGCATTCAGACAGGAAGCCCCAGCACACCCTCCTCTGAGGGGGAACTTTGACTTTAACAGGCTTTATCAGCCCAACTGCGTAAAGAATTGTCACAGCTGATTTGCACATTAAAGCCAGAATAGTTTAGTTTTGCAGCCATGGGGAACAATTGATATTTTCCCCCCAAATGGAAGTTCTCACTTACATGTCTTTCCCCTACCCAGCTTAGAAAAATACTGTAACAGAAACCACTCTTCTCTGAAATAGTGGTCATCTGCTGACACAAGCTTCTCACACTCCTCTTTAAGCAAAGACTCCAAAACAGCAATATAAAACCTGTAAAAAATACACTGAATTAAAGTACTGGGCAATTATGAAGTTTTGCAGTTTTGGCAACTGTCTCCACTCAAAAATGCAATTCTTTGAGCATATGGTCCACTGTCCTAATTTCAGAAGGAGAAATCTGGGTTTCTTTCAGCTGAAAGATGCTTTAAACTGTAGAAAATCTGAATCTGGTTTTGCTATTAAGCCTCACAGTATATGATGACTCTTACAGTACCCTCCTGTGTTGCTTCTCATGCATCAATGTATGCAAGAGTAATGAGAGAAATTTGCTTGTTGATGCATTCATCTGATAGTTCATTATCATCATCAGGGGTCAAAATACTAATCACCAGAATGTATTAGGAAAAGAAAAAACACTAGTAACACAAAGTAAATGCTAGCAATTAGTGGCACAAAGACAAAGCATATGGATATACAGTGGACAATCTCTTGTTCCACTGAGACACATGTAAGTATCCAGAAAGCAGTGCCTAGTTACTGAATTTAAAATAAAGAGCATCAATGATAGCAAGTTTAAAATTAGAAGTGTAATCAACTGAGAGTGGCTTATGTTATGCATTGGATGGCTGCACATAGCTCTATGTTTGTCTTACTACTTCAAGGCAGTATTTCAAAACTCGCTCCTGCTGCTCTGGCTTGTCACACATACTGATGCTGTGGTCACTGCAGTTCTGACTCATCTGTTTCAGCTTTTTTTTCTCCAGTAGAGAAGAGGATCCAGAATCTGAATTTATTTCAGAACTTGGCATTATATATCTGAATATACAAGGTGAATAAGTTCCTATTTTTACTCTGTCACTGTTGAACAAATATAGGAACAACTGTTCACCTCTGTGTACTGCATGAAGAGGACTTCTTTTTTAACGATCTCTGGTAAGAAAATTAAGACCGATTTTGATACGACGCAGGATCAAGACTTCAATTAGTTTCACTGATGTAATCTACATGCTCATTTCCAGGGGTGGTGGAGCGAAAAAAATTGCTCACAGAAATTCACTTCTGTGAGCCAGTCATGGACAACATCCATCCATCACAATACAAGGTATTTAACGCCTTAGAAACGAATGGCAGAATCTATAGAATACTACAAAAATGTACTGGTAAACCTTAATGCTGCAATGCTGTAATGCTGTAAATGCTGATTTATTTCCACAGAGAGCAAATTCAATATAGACTGTAATTCATTAAGTAAATGCAAGGCTATATGAATGCCAACTTTGAAAAATACACAAGATACAGCCAATAAAAAAAGAAAACAAAAGAAAAACACTACTAAATCAGAAGGTTACAGACATATCAGTTCCAGCTTGATCTCTACTCCCAACTCCCAGTCACATCAGCAGGACTGGCAGAATTGCCCATTTACATCCCACAGACTCAATCCCACAGAAGCAATCTATGTGATTTCACAAAGAGGAGGGACAGCTGATTGTCTGGAGGATAGGTAGGAAGAGACCAGCTATTACATAATGAAATAGGAGTATAATAATAGCACTCCTCTAAGCTTCCTTAGAGATTTTGCTTAATTGGATGGTGTAGATCCAATTCTGATTCTGGAGATACTGCTGTAACTCCAAAATTTTTATTTGGCATAATACAAAAGCAGTTTACCAAAAACCAGACTTGGTGTGTTTGCAAAGGTTGTTTAATGAATATAACCAAGAACAGTGAAGATGGGTGCTTCATTCTGTAAGGCCACCAAATGCCTTGGTAGGTCACGCTAGTGTAAGTTGCTTGTCAATTCCAGTTTCTTCCTGAAACACTTAAACCAGTTGGATAAAATAATTTATAACATTCAGTTCTTCTTTTTGCCTACAAAGTAACTACCATCTATAGAATTGTGGTATTTTTTCCTCAGTATTTAATTTTAAAGTTAAAAGAAGCCCAAAAAGAAATGTCTCTGCTTGCAACTGAAGAGGAATAACAAAACATCTAATCTTTCCCTCACAATTTGCCCCAGAATTCTGCCCTGCCTTTGTACGTATTGAGAAAAACAACTTGAAACTACTAACAGCACAGGAAAGAATTTTTTGGTATGGACTTAACTGTCAAGATTTCTTAATTAAAAATATGAAAGGAATTAATTTTGCCAAAACAAAAAGTAACTTTAATGAAGCTATCTACGCTGGAAATTCACTT